TTTAGGAAACCAGTAAGATTCCAAACGGGATGGAGAGTAATAAATACCCACTGTAAAAATTACGACTCTCCCACCGCAGACCCTCAGACCCTCTCTCCAGAGACAACGACTATGAAGTATCTTTCCAGTTTTCTCTACCATATTTACTTACTCACGGAGCTTTCAACATACTGATTCTGTACCTTGCTCTTTTCTTTCCCCCTCTAAAACATACCCTGGAATTTATTTCTTAACCACCCTAGTAGTTCTCTTCTTTTCAATGGTCACTACTGCCTCTGAGTGGGCGTGGAGATTGTTCCAAATCTTCTTGTATGCTACAAAACTTCCTTGCACTGATGTCTTTGCATTTGTGGGTGACGATATTTGGAACACACATCTTCCAAAGTCGAGCTGCTGTGTCACAAGGTATGTGCATCTTGAGTTTCAGTAAGTGTTGCCAAAGAGCCTTCCAGAGACTGCATCAGTGACTCATATAGAAAGATGGGAAGAAGTCTTTAAAAACCAGCCAACCAGCCAACAAAACCCTGCTTACTAAACTTTTCATCATGGCGAGTCTGATAAGAATAAAAAAGGGGGGGGGCAATCTCATTGCTGTTTTGATTTTATTTCATTATCACCCCCATTACAAGGAAGACTGAGCATCATTTCCTAGACTACTCTCAGCTACCTAATACTGTCCACTCATCTTTTGGGATGTGGGTCATTTTCTTCTGATCCACAGGAACTCATTTTATACTTCAGAACAGCTTCTGCTTATTCATTCCGAGTCCTGCTACACATTTTTTAACTTCTATGTAGTCAATTTTTCTATCTTTCCCTTTGTTTCTAGGGGAAATATCTTCACTCCAAGATTATTTTTCACACTGCCACCATTTTCTTTTCTGCCTTACAGTTTCATCTCTGCCCTTTCTGGAATTTATTGGGTACAAAAGGCATGACGTAGGGACCCATGTCACGCCTTTATTTTGCTCTAAGTGCCAACCAGGGGCCTCAACATTGTGAATTGCACGATCTCTCTTCTGTGAACCTTTGACCACACCACCCACCATGGCCTGGGTCCTTGGAATGTCCTGACACCCTAAAGGTGCTGGGAAAACAAATGCAGTGCTGCTCAAGCGAATGCAGCATCAGCAGCACAGCACACCAGGCCACCGCAAGGCAAGCCGTGATATCACCTGGGCAAGCCCAGCAGCACCAACCTGCTCCCACCAACACCCCAACACTGGTGGGACATCTTCTGGAGACGCGTTCTTTATCGGACAGATGTTGCGCAAGTATTTTCAGCCGTTGGCAGGCCTGCTGCTTCTCTCCTCACTGTGGTCTTAATACGCATTTCCCTATCACGGTGAAACTGAAGTTTTTTAAATGTTCATGAGCTGTTTGAGCTTCCTCTTCTTCTTTGAATGATCAACTCGCGTGCTTTTCCCAATTTTCTTTTGAGGTGTACTGTCTTTTCTTCATGATTTAAAGTTTGAGGAATGTTGAGAAAAGAACTTCTATGAGTCCCTCCCACCACATCCAGCTGCCTTACCTGGCTCTGCGCACACACGGACCTCCTGACCTCTGTGAGAGTTAGATGTCTGCATCCCCGGCGAAAGCCGACCCTCACTTGTGCACCAGACTGTGGCTCAGGGGCTCCAGCTTATGCTCAGTGCTCAAAACAGTCCCCTTCCTTGCACCTTCTGTATCTCTGCTGATAGTTCACTGCCGTTAGCCTACATAAATATGCTATTTCTTCTCTCACAACCCAAAATAAAACAAAACAAAACACCCTCTCTTGTCCCTGTCTTCTCTGCCACCCATTGCCCCTTCACAGAAAAACTCGTGGCAGGAGTCTTCACCACTAACTGTGTCCAATCCCTCTTCCTGCCATTCTCTCCTTTCTGTTTTGTTTTGTTTTCAATTGTGGACGAACACACATGACATAAAATTGACCAGTTTTATTTTTTTTTAAATTTTATTTATTCATGAGAGGCAGACACAGGCAGAGGGAGAAGCAGGCTCCATGCAGGGAGCCAGATGTGGGACTCGATCCCAGGACTCCAGGAGGATGCCCTAGGCCAAAGGCAGGCGCTAAACCGCTGAGCCACCCAGGGATCCCCAAGCAAAATGTTTTCAAGGTTCCTCTTTCTTGGGGTGCCTGGGTGGCCCAGTCAGTTAAGCATCTGCCTTCAGCGCAGGTCTCAGTCTCGGGCCTGTGATCGAGCCCTGCATCGATCTCTGCTCAGTCTGCTTCTCCCTCTGTGCTCACTTTCTCTCTAAGAAATAAAATCTTTAAAAAAAGAAAAAAGATTCATCTTTGTTTGTAGCCTGTGTGTTAGATCTTCATTCCTTTTTAAGGCTGAATAATCTGTTGTATGTATATGCTACATGTTGTTTATCTATCCTTCTGCTGTTGGGACATTTGTTTCCACCTTCTGGTTATTGTAAATAATGTTGCTATGAACACTGGTATCCAAGTATCTGTTTGAGTCTCTGCTTTCAATTCTTTGGGGTATATACCTAGAGCAGGAATTGCTAGAATCATATAATTATTCAGCTTTTTGTGAAACTGCCAAACTATCTTCCCCAGTGGCTGTACCATTTTACAGTCCAACCAGCAATGCACAAGGGTTCCAGTTTCTCCACTCTCACCAATACTTGTCATTTTCTGTGGTTTGTTTTGCATTGTTGTTTTTATAGTAACCATCCTAATAGGTTTGAGGTGCTATCTTGTTGTGGAGCTCACAGAGCTTTTTTAAAAAAATATTTTATTTATTTATTTGACACAGAGAGAGCACATGCAGGGGAAGCAGCAGAGGTAGAGAGAGAAGCAGGCTCCCTGCTGAGCAGAGAGCCCAAGTGGGGCTCGATCCTAGGATCCCAAGGTCATGACCTTAACTGAAGGCATATGCTTCACCGACTGAGCTACCAGGCGCCCATCACTGTGGTTTAGATTTGCATTTCCCTAATGACTAGTGATGCTGAGCATCTTTCACATACTTACTTAATGTTCTCTTCACATTGTATATCTTCTTCGGAGAAATGTCTGTTCGTGTCCTTTACCTGTTTTTAAGTTGAATTTTTTGTTGTTGAATTGTAGAAATTCTTTATATATTCTGGATATTAATCCTTTTTCAGATATATGATTTGCAAATATCTCCAATTCTTAGGTTATGGTACTCACTTTTTTTTTTTAAAGATTTTATTTACTTATTCATGAGACAGAGAAAGAGGGAGAGACACAGACAGAGGGAGAAGCAGGCTCCATGCAGGGAGCCTGACCTGGGACTCCAACCTGGGACCACAGGATCATGCCCTGAGCCAAAGGCAGATAGATGCTCAACCACTGAGACACCCAGGCGTCCCGTACTCTCTTGATGGTGTCCTTTGATTCACAAAAATTCTTAATTTTGATAAGATCCAATTTATTTCTCTTTTGCTGCCTGTGCTTTAGATGTCAAAAACTCATTGCCAAATTCAATGTTGTGAAGCTTTTACTCTGTTTTCTTCTAAGAGCTCATAGTTTCAGTTCTTAAAATTTTAGGTCTGTGATTTTGAGTTTGTCTTTTTTTTTTTTTTTAAAGATTTTATTTATTTATTCATGAGAGACACAGAAGGAGAAAGGCAGAGACCCAGGCAGAGGGAGAAGCAGGCTCCCCTCACGGAGCCCGATGTGCGACTTGATCCCTGGACCCCGGCATCACGCCCTGAACTGAAGGCAGACACTCAACCAGTGAGCCACCCAGGTGTCCCAAGTTTGTTTTCTATATGGTGAAAGGTAAGGGTCCAACTTCATTCTTTTGGATACATATATCCAGTTTCTCTGGCACCAACTGTTGAAAAGAACTGCCCTTTCCTGCTGAATGGTCTTGACACCCTTCTCAGAGGGCTTAGGTTCTCTATGCCGTACCCCTGGTTCATATCTCTAGGTCAGTACTATATACTGTTTTCACTATGTATCTTTGCAGTAAGTTTTGGACTCAGGATGTGTAAGTCCTCTGACACTGTTCTTTCTAAAGACTGTTATGGCTCTTCAGGCACCCCTTGAGGATTCCCATGAATTTTAGGATGGGCTTTCCTATTCTTGCAAAAAGTACACCAAGCACAGAGGCAGGACTGGAAATACTAGACTTGAGAACTATTAAGATGCAGGTGTTTGGGGTAACTCCAGCATGGTGGGTGAGGGGCTATTAAGGAGGCAGTAAGAGAGAAACTGGGGAGGTGAGCTAAGGCCAGATCCCAATCAGTAGGAACCATGGAACAGTTTTCAGAAGCTCATCTGTCAGCTGTGCCATGAGTAACAGAGGAGCAGGTGCTACTTAGGGCAGGGAGGAGGGGCCACCCTGGACACGGCCCTGGCCCCCTACCCCGTCGGCCCCAACCATCCGCTCCACTGACTACTGGTTGCCAAGTTCTCCTCTATTGCATAGAATGTCTGAAGAAGACACAGAGGCGGTCAGCCTTGGGAGAGCTGAGCGGGTACTGAGACACCCAGGGGAGCCCCCCACCCTCCCCTCAGAGAACTGGAGGTGAGCATCACACTTGAAGCTCCACACAAGGGAACGGGCAGGCAGCACACAGACCATTTTGAACTAGGAATTACATTCACACTGTGTAAGATACAAAAAAGTCACAGAGATCTGAGAAAACCCAAGGGCAGACAGGCCTCCAGGGGAAATGAGGGGGTGGGAGCAGCCTGGGCCGCTTTCCTTTCCTCAAGAGTAAAACAAAACTAGGTCCCCACAGTGAGGTCAAGCTCTCCTCCTCGAGTACCAAGAAAATGGACAGACCCTGCTGAATCTGAAGAGCGCCAGCCTGGGTGCCATCAGGACAGAACCATGTGCTGGAGCTTGGGAGGTAGGAGAGCAGCTGAGCCCCAGGCCTGGGGAGCGGGAAGGGGTGAGGGCAGGTATTAACTCCATTCCAAGAACTACAGATCACTTGGGCTGCTCCCTCTCACTCCAAAAAATTAGGAAAGGAAAAAAAAAAAGTAGGGAAGCATAAAGATGCTGTACCTGCTATTTTAAAAAAAGAAGAAAAAAAAGGATTTATTAATCCAGTTTCCCTTCCCTTGCCAAACTGCAGAAGCAAGACACAGGTATCCTGTACATCGGTGTCAGGAGTTGTCAGAAGGCTCCACTGAGAGCTGATCCCAATGTCCCATGACGGGCCTTTGTTCGGCCACGGGACTACAGGTAGTGTGGTCTCCAGTCTACACACCCAGCACGCCAGGCCCAGGGTCTCCAGCGTCTGCCAAGGGCCACAGGGCAGGCCCAGGGTGTGAGGATCCAAAGCAGCATGCAGGTGTCTCGAGAAGGCCTCAGGCAGGACTTGACCACGCTTGTCCTTTCTCCTCTCAGAAGCCATGGCTGGCCGCCCTCAAGGTCAGAGGCCCGTTTCCCTCAGGAGCATCTCCCTCTGGCCGATGGTCAGGAGGCTGCACCCAGACCACCTGGGAAGCGGTCCCCACGCACCTGGCCACACTCTCTCCCATTGGGTCGTTGGGCCCCTGTTGCTACTGCTGCTTGTGTGTAGGGGCCTTCTCGCTGGGTGGCAGCTTCCTGTGGATCAGGCTGAGGCCGCAGAGGATGAGGAACACGCCTCCCCACCACAGGACCTTCTGGCACTCTCCATACAACACAAAGCCCAGGAAGGCCTGTGGACAGAGACCACTGTGAGGCCACGCAGACACGTGCCCGCCGGACTCGACCTCAGCGAGTAGGCACCTCCTCACTCCCCCGGGGGCTGCCTGCCATCCTGGGGCAGGGGGAAAGGACTGGAGCTGGAAACCCAGCTGTCACCTTCTGCAAGTCACTATTCATTTACGACTTACCTGTGTGTGTGTGTGGGGGGGGCTTCCTCATAGCCCTGGCCCCAAGCAAAGGGCACAGGGAAGAGTAGCAGAGGCCGGGCCCTCACGCCCAGCCCACAGCTGGTGCCTGGTGTTGGCTGACCCAAAGCGGCCTGCCAGGTCCTCCCTCCCTCAATGGCAGGGCTGACATCAGGCTATCAGAGGAAAGGGTGTCCACCCTAGGAGTCAGCTTGCACGGAGGCTGCAGAGACCACAGGATGAGAGCTGCACCCTGGAAGGGCAGCAAGCATGTAGACTTTTACAGCCGGATGTCATTCCCAGCTACTTTGAGATTAGAGGAGCAGCCTGCAGGGGTCAAGCTACAGCCCAATCTCTGCTTCAGTTCCTGCCTTTAGTCCTGTCTGGGAGGGCGGGAGCTCCCTAACTCCCCCAGAGCCGCCCTCCCCCCAGGACCCAGGTGTGGGACAGGGGGACCGCACCCTCAGGTTACTCACCGAGCTGAGGATGTTTGAAAAAGTCACCGTGACAGATGCAATGGCCGAAGACATGGAGAAACTGAGGCCGCGGCTAAAGAACGTCCACATGAGAGAATTGGTGGTCGCCATCACGATAATGCCTAAGATGCGGAAGCCCACGTTCACCTGCGGAAGAAAGTGTCACTGCAGCCCCCCTCCCAGCACACCGAGGGTCCCGATCAGCAGCCGGATCCCACCACAGCCTGGGTGGGCGGTCCTCAGAGCTTTCCTGCACAGGACTTCACTAAATTCTGTGCTCTGCACACTCTTTTTACAGCAGAAATAAACTGAGACTTAGGCGTCCATGTGCCCTTGGGCAGAGTGAAAAGCTAATCCATAACCAGTACTGAGTTCTGAGTACCACTCACTGGTGTCCAAGATCAGTGCCAGAGGGCCAAGCAGTTGCTAGTACGTAGCATAAGTAAACCAAGGGGGGAGCCCTCACTTCTGGGGATGGGGTAAAGCATAACCGGCCGTGCTTCCCCCATTCTGTGCAGGCTACAGGACACTCAGGCCAGTCCCACTAGGCATTCTTTTTTTCTTTTTCTTTTTTTAAAGATTTTATTTATTCATTAGAGAGAGAGAGAGAGAGAGGCAGAGACACAGGCAGAGGGAGAAGCAGGCTGCATGCAGGGAGCCCGATGGGGAACTTGATCTGGGGTCTCCAGGATCATGCTGTGGGCTGAAGGTGGCGTTAAACCGTTGAGCCCCCCCGGGGCTGCCTGCTGCTAGGCATTCTTGGACTTTAACTCTGTGCCAGGTGCTGTGCCAAGTGTTTTAAGTGCATTCTCGTTTATTCCCTTAACTCCACTTTACAGAGAAAAGAACCTAAGACATTAGTAACTTGCCTAAAGCTGGTGGGAGCCATCAGGATTCAAACCCAGGCAGTGACTCCATGCTTTCAACCAGGACACAGCACTACTTAGGGAAAACACCCTCTACTTGGCTAGTGATCCCAGACATCAGAGTACTTGCAGCCTTTTTCTTTCTTTCTTTCTTTCTTTTTTTTTTTTAAAGTGAAAGCCTGGAGAGAAGAGGATCTTAAGCCTCCTGCGCAAAGAATATGCAGACCCCTTACTTGGTTTTGAATTAGAAAACTGCCTGCAGACATAGCTGCCTTCTTTGGGGTCATCTAAATATCATACTCTTTTTTTTTTTAATTTATTTTAGGGACACCTGGGTGGCTCAGTGGTTGAGTTGAGCGTCTGCTTTCCACTCAGGACGCAATCCCCAGGTCCTGGGATCGAGTTCCGCACCAGGCTCCCCACAGGAGCCTCTTTTCCCTCTGCCTATATCTCTGCCTCTCTTTCTCTCTCTCTGTGGCTCTCATGAATAAATATTTTATTTTTAAAGTAATCTCTACACCCAACGTGGGGATCAAAGTCACAACCCTGAGACCAAGAGGTGCATGCTCTGACTGAGCCAACCAGGAGCCCCTCATACTCATTTCTTGTAACTGTTGAGTAGTGTCTTAAAGGGTGTCTTTGTAGAATTTTCACGAAGGCATTGCATGCACCGATGGCAGCCTGCTTATATAGTCAGGAAGGCCTGGTGCACAAAAGAAGACTAGGAAACCTCATGGTTCAGTCTCTCATCTTCCTTTGGACCACTTGAAGAGTTTATACCCAACAGGGCACTAAGGTCAAGCAAGGCGGTCCTCATTGGATCAGCCCTAAATAGGCGACCCCCAAAGACCCAGTCTGTCCACGGTCCAGGTCAAACCTAACGCGGGGCGCAGGTGCAGACGCGGGCCTAGGACTGGCGAGGAGAGGGGCAGCGGTGCACTGCAGCAGACGCGGCGGCAGCTCAGTCCTCAGCAAGGATGCCGGTGGGGGCGCGGGGGAGATACCCACAGTGCTTCCCCGTCCTCTCTTCCGCCTCTGTGCCCCAAAACACCAACGATGCGGCAGCAGGGTATGCCGCTCAAAACCCTCGTTAATTAGGGGGCAGAGAGATGGGCACCAGGCTGCCCACCTGGAGTCACGTGGAGGGGAAGGTTGGGGCAGAGGGGCTTACAGTGAGAGGCAGGGTGGGTGTAGGGGAGCGGACCAGCCCCACGGAGGGCAGACGCGAGGGCGGACGGCAGGCCCCGGTCGGAGGAGATTCGGGTCTCCTGCCGCCTACACCGGGCGACGACTCGCGGGCCTTACAAGGGAGGGACGCCCGCCCGCCTCTGCTGACCGCGGCGGCCGGGGCGACCAGACCTGCGGGCGTGAGGCTTCGCCCTGCGTCCCCGCCCCCGCCCCCGCCCGCAGCGCCCCTCCGCCCCCCCCCCCGCCCGCTGGCCGCAGCGGCGCCCCGGGCTCGACCTCGCTGCCGAAGGCCAGCTTGGCGGAGGCGGCGGCCAGCGCCCCGAACGCGCCGGCGCACATGCAGTTGAACACGCCCCAGAAGCGGCGCCGCATCGCGCCGGCCTGGAGGTGCGGGGGGAACTCCGCGGCGGCGTCGGGGTAGGCGGCGGGGCACACCGCACCGCCCCGGGGCTGCGGCCTCTCGGCCATAGCGCCCGCCGCCGTCTCTCCAGGGCGCGGCGCCCCCCCCACCAGCAGGGCAGGGCGCGCGCCGCGATTGGGCGGCGGCCTCACGTGACGCGGAGCCCACGTGAGCAGGGAGGCCAATCCGGGGGCGGCGAGGGCCTCCGAGGGGCGGGGCCGAGCTCCGGGGCCTCCGAGGGGCGGGGGGGCTTAGGTTTCCCGGGGAGACGTCTGCGGCTGGCGTGTGAGTCCGGGGCCGCGCCCCTGTGGTCGCCGCTGCACAATTAAAACTGCCCGGGACTCGGCAGTTGCAGTCCTTGCCACTGAGTGTGCCCCCGCATCCTTTTCCTCCGGGAGTTTGTTTGCAGTGCCGAAGCCCAGACTCTGCCCAACACCCCTTGATCAGAATCTTGCATTCCAACAAGCCCGGCGGGGGATTCACCTGCATCCTCCAGTTTGGGGATCCGCGAAGGGGAAAGCCGCCCCAGCAGAGGGCGCCGGAGACCTCTGTGCTCAGCCAGGAGGCGGGTAGGGTTTAGTCCGCTCCCAAGGCCAGGACTCATGCTCCTTCTCATTTCCTATGCACTTAAATGCTGAAAATCTATTTTATTTTATTTATTTTTGCTTAAAATATTTTTTTGTAAAACGCAGTACACGTCTTTCAAAGTTTAGTGCTGGGAGTGTATGAAGGACTGTTCCCACTCTCCAGGAAAATCATTATTAGAGTACTTTCCGTCTATGCAGTTTTATATGTAGCACACGTTAGAAAGTAGTTTACATGGTCTGTATGGGTCTTTCTCTTTTAGTTTGATTTCACCCTGAACTGTCGAGCAGCATTTTCTTTCCATTTGGAAAGTTTTTGAAGTCCTTCCTTAACGACCTCTCTCACAGGGTGGTTTCGTGGCTCAAATTAAAGCATGGATAGCCTGACAACGGCTCTTTATAGGCTGAATTATGTCCTCCCCAGAAAAGATAGATTTATCTTAATCCTCCACACCAGTGAATGTGACCTTACTCAGAAAGGGAGCCAACTGCAGATACGATTAGCGTGAGCCCTACCGCGACTAGTGTCCTTCTAGGAGGCCGTGTGACCACGGAGGTATGTGTCTCTCTTTAGCCAAGGAGCGCCAAGGTCTGCTGTCAGTGCCGCAAGCTAAGAGAAACACCTCGAACAGTTGCTCCCCAGGGCCCTCAGAGAGAATGGCCTTGCCAACACCTTGATTCTGGACTTCTAGCCTCCAGAAACTGTGAGAGAATATGTCTCTAGCCTCCCCAGCTCATGGTCCTTTGTTCTGGCAGGTCCCAGACACTCCCACAGGTGGGTAAGACCCCAGTCTCTTTAGTACCAGCCTCAGGCAGAGACAGGCAGTGGGAGAAGCCGAGTTGCTGTGAGGAGCTGGATGCAGGACTTGATCCCAGGACCAAGAGTCCCATACTCCACCATCAGGGCTGCCAGGTGCCCCCTAGAGTGTGATTTTTAGTTCCTTTTTTGTTTCTGGCTCTTAGGGATTTATTTATTACTCCTTGAGAACTCAATTCTGCATTACTTTTTTTTTTTTTAAGATTTTATTGATTTATTCATGAGAGACACAGAGAGAGAGCAAGAGGCAGAGACACAGGCAGAGAGAGAAGCAGGCTCCCTGCAGGGAGCCCGATGCAGGACTCCATCCCAGGACTCCAGGATCACACCCTGAGCCGAAGGCAGATGCTCAACCACTGAGCCACCCAGGTGCCCCACCCTGCATTACTTTTTAAAATTGTCTTTCCTCTATTTTTTTGAGGTATAATCTACAATCCATCAAATGAAACCATTTTGAATACATTTTAGTTTTTAGTAAATTCATAGAGCTAAATGTGTGTAAGGGACACCACAAACCAAAACATTTCTACCACATTAAAAAGCTCCCATTACACCCATATGGTCACTCACTCCCACCCCCAGGCACAAGCAACCAATGATTTGCTTTCTATCTCTCCATAATTTTGCCCTTTCTGGACACTTCACATATGTGGAATCATACAATATGTGGTCTTTGGGGTCTGGCTTCTTTCATTTTCTGTGTTGAGGGAGGTCCATCCACACCGTAGCATGTCAGTTTGCCTCTTTCGGATTGCCAGGTATAGTGTCCTGTCATGTGTAAGCAATGCTCAGTATCCTTAGGCATTAGGAGAACGTAAGTGATAAGCCATTATGGGGATGGCTACGGTAAAACACCTGACAGTCACAGGAGCTGAGGAGGATCTGGAGAAACCGAACCCCCTGCTGGGGGGAACAGGGATGGTGAAGCCCAACAGCACATCTGGAAGTGAGGCAGGATCTTCAAGAGTTAAACACAAGCTTACTGGCAATTCTACTCCTAGGTTTCTACTCAAGACATAGGAAACACAGTCCCCAAGACTGGTGCACAAGTGTTTACAGCAGCATTATTCAAAATAACTCCAAATTGCCAATAGCTCAGATGGCCCTCAAATGTGGCGCATCCACACAAAGGAAAAGGATTCACAAAGAGAAGGAATAAAATGTCAACACAGAGAAGTTCCTTGAGGGCAGGAGGCTTTGTTTTCTTTGTTCACAGATGACTGGTAAGAGGTGCTCATGAAGTGGATGCTGAATAAACAAGTCTTTCATTTGGCTCTCTCAAGTGAACAATTAAATCACTTTATTAAACTTTATTTTCAAGGAATTTTATTAATTTTGAAAAATGCAAGAATACAAAAATAATCTATATTAACATGTGTGCCTTTCGCACGTGCTACGGAATCAGTCATGTTATGAAATCACCTCATATTGTTAGAGCTTCTGACATAAGACGCAAAGGAGATTATAGTAGGTAGTATCTAAGGAAAAAACATAACCTGGCCAACATCCACTGTCAACCTTAGCTACCGGCTTTTATTTTAAAAAGGCAAAAGGTTTTCCCAGTATTTACAATTGATTTAAAGCTTTGAAGTGGGGTGGTAACTTCAAAATAGTAGACTGCCGACTGTTACAGGGTGAGTTTGGTTCAGAACGTTCATCAGAAACTTGGGGTTCAGCCCCCAGTGTCACGTATGGAGTTAGTACTTATGCTCCTTAATTCAGCTATTAGATGCGCAGGGTAGGGCTTACTTTTGCAAGAGGAAAGAAAGTCTCCAAAAAGGTGATGACCAAGATCTTTATGATTCATTCCTTTTTTTTTTCTTTTAAAAATACATTTTCAGCACGCAACTTTTCTGTCTCCTGAGAAATAAAAAATAAAAAAAAAATATTAAGGCTCTAATGCTTACAGGAAGTTATTCTCTGTACTCATTAAGTTATATTTCAAATTAAGACCACAATTTTCAATTTGTAAACTACGTGTAACATTAAACAAGAATCTGCTATACAAAAGCATGACAAAGGACTGAATTACGCTCGGAATAATGATGACTGATTTTTTTTTTTTTTAATTCAGTAAGGAGTTCCCTGAAGAAAGCATTAAGTGACTCGATAATTAAACTTTAATGAAACAATCATTCTAAAACCAGACTGAGTTTACCTAGAACACTAGGTCCAGAGCTTACCTCAGCAAGCCGGACGTTCTCCTTCTTCAGCCGCACCACGTACTGAATCTTCTGGTGTAGGTTCTGGTGACCGACCAACTTCCCATTTTCCTCAGCAAGACACTCCACCTGCTTCCTTAACATTTCCATCTCCTGCAGGCAAATCAGTGCAGGGAGGGGAAAATGAGTTGCTCTTAATTTTCCTTTTACAATAACATCATTTCCTCCCGTCCAAGAGCATGGGGCGTGAGAGAGCCCAGGCTCCTGGCTTTGGGGGCCATACATCCCTGTACATGCCAGAGCAACTCTGAACCACCGGACACCCAATCGCAGACATGGCCTATGTACATGACAAAAGAACCAACACACAAATGCACCTGGAATATTCTCTCCTTTTCTTCATACACTTCTTCTAGCTTTGATCTCAGTTGCTCCTTTTCTTGGAACGCTTTGGATTCCAAAGTTCTGGTTCGTTCAACTTCCTCAGCCATCCTAAGGCAGTCCATCTCTTGGTTCTGAAGAGCACTCTGGACTTCTTCTAGGCTGTAACAACAAATATCGCTTTCTGGAATTCCAAAGGAACATAATTACCACAATATTCAAATGAGACATTTTTTACCCAAGCCCAGAATTTTGATTTGAAAGCGTCACTAGTATTCAGCCCTCCCCTACTGACGGCAGAGGGAGAGAGCAAGGGATGCAGATAAGCTTCTTTTGTTATTTTATCCAAGACTTTCATTTTGGAAAACCTGTCAAAACATTTTTTAAATAATAAAAATTGAGAATTGGAACTTTGGAGCAAATGTAATTTAAGAAAGATATTTTACAGCATCTGGAATAGAAGGATTATTTAATGACACCATACTCAGAATTTCATATACCACTTAAGGCAAACTAATTTCAGGAGCAGTGTTTTCAGACTACATTCCATGGAACCTCAGAACAGTGTGGGGAGGAGGGCACTGATGTTCTAATTCATTTGGAGCTGTTCTGTTGTCTTGGGTACTTTGCTTTAGTTTGATGAAAAGGTTCTGGGACATGACAAACCTTGCTGCTGCTTATCCAACAGCCATTCCCTTGCTGCTTTTCTGCTTATAAAAACTCATTTTGGAAAAAAAAAACAAACAAACTCATTTTGAGGGAAAAGGACAAAAAGGAGAAGCACACCCAGTTCTAGAGGGTTGGTAAAGCAAAAACAAAAACAAAAAAAAACTAGTCTATACTAAGCATGATTTCTCCACCTTGCTGCCAGATCCTGGTTTCCTCAGCTTGCCAGAGGTGTGTTAATTCTGGCCACAAAGCACAGGCTGATTCTTGGGGGCTACTAGGAGTTCTTTTCCCCTGACAAAAGAAAAAGCCCTTTTGAACTCACCTCACCACAAACTGTGATCCTCTTATTTATGACATTTGGGGCTATGGCAGCCATCTTATGGCCAAGAGGCCACAAGCAAGACTGCCTAAAGCAGAATGGGAAGGATATGGGTCCCTGATGGCATCATTGAGTCATCAATGCACTTCCAGACCTCTTGT